TCACCAGAATTATGAAACTTGAAACAGAAGCTTTGCATACAGAATGTGTACAAAAAAAAAAAAAAAAAAAAAAAAAAAAAAAAAAAAAAAAAAAGTCAGTGATTTTTTTGCTGTACCCAACCTGCGTTGACATGCTTTAACTGAAAATGTATTTGCATTTCAAAGCCTTACAGTTTGGGGCCATGACCTATTATTTTGCAGGATATTTGGAAGGATATATGTGAGCAGAACAATTGTATTTGCTACACTTTTGGTTTCTAACAGCAGGTCTGAGGCATCAGGCTTACTGCTTTTGGAGCTATTTCCACTGGCAGGTCTCATCATATGAAAGGCACAGGCATTTTCCATGAAGTATGAAAAATGTCTGGGTGCTGTCCACACTACCTCTGTAACACGTGAGAAAAATACACACGTGAAGGAAAATGCAAAAATACCAAAGCAGGAGAACAAAATTAAAAGACCAGCAAAATTAAGACCTTCATGTAATAGCTGTGTGCCTAAAAACAACATGGACTATCTTGACAACTAAAGAAAACCAGCGAGACCTAATTTTCAGAAGAGTGTGTTGTTTGGGGACTTCTTTAAAGCAATAGCAAGCCATTACTAACAGGAAAAAAAATACAGCAGGAACAACACTTTTCTATTTTCAGTTTTTCTTGTACAGAGACATCTTATAGCCACTCCATAAAATTAATTCTCTGGGATAGCAGAAAATCTAATTTGAATACTCAAAAGAACATTTCTCCCACAGCCTCAAACAAAAATCAAGTGGTCTAATATCTGAAAATTACAACAGCAGGTCAAATATTTTCAAACCCTACATATAACTGAGAAAATAGCACAAATGGAGAATATGTTACATCATTTATATCTAACTCTGTATTTTTTACATATGGATCAAAGGGAGGGTTTTTCTTAAGTCTGTTCCTAAAAGGACCACAGTTGTGTTAAATAGGCTACAAATATAAATTACTGCTATAGAATAATCCACTGATAAAAACAAAAGGGTGTCAAACTGATCTTAACTCTTCACCAAACAGTCTCTGTTCTACAAGATTCTGGTAAAATATTACCACAGATCTCAATTGCAATGCCCTTGGTATTCAGTCACAGTATTAGGACCATGTTTAGGACTTCCTATAAAACCCAAAACTGGTTGGTATCTCTTAAAAAAAAACCTCACCAAAAAAAGAATTTCCCCAAACAACATGGAGAAAGGCAGTCACCTGAAATTCCCTGTACTTGTATATCCTTGTGTTAGGCCTAGTTCCATTAAGAGCCAAATTCAGTAACAGCTTATGGTCTACAAACCTCTGCCAGTTCTCTGGCAGTGACTGAAACACGGTAATTTAAACATGCAAGAAAGTTTCTACACAATCAACTACAACATAACCTGTAACTGCACTCTAAATATCATCCATAGGACTACAGTATTTATTTTTACAAATAATTTATTAACCAAACTGTTTTATCCAACTGTAAACAATTTACAAACTCAAGATTAACAAAAACATGGAAAAAAGATCTGAAGCACAGGCATCCTTCACAAAGAGAAGAGCAGGAAGAGAAGAAAATTTGTTTTAGAACTACTTCTGTTCAGGAAAAAAAAGTGTCATTGACCTGTCCTCACTTTAGCTTTTATTTTTCAATTCTGGAAGTTAAAATACATTAGCAGGTGACAACATACTCAGGCATGTGGTGTGGCTCTTGGGGATGGCCCTGTGCAGGGCCAGGAACTGAACTTGGTGATCCCTGCGCATCCTTTCCTGCTCAGCATAATCTGTGATTCTGAGACTTGCGTGAGAACAGCAAGAGGAAGGTAACAGGCAGGACAAACAAAAAAAAAGCTTACAGATTTCATGAAACTTTCTATAGGGAGCAAATGTACATATAGGGAGGAACCTAAAGCATGCCTATTGCTCTAACTTCCCTGCTGAAAACTACTGACTGGATAATGCCTCCAGCCACAGAGAGTGGCAGAGCTCAAAACACAGCCTTAGAGAACTTATCCAGTCATTTACAAATGCACAGTAAATGGGCAACTTCCCTCAGCATTTTTTTTAAACACAAAAAATATTTTTCTTGATTCTGACAGACTAAGTTTAAAAATATTGCCAAACTTCAAACTCAGTACATACATAAAACATTTCATTGATAAAGAGCACACAGGTAATTATGCAAACCCCTGGTTCTTTATGCTAGCTTCATAGGATACCTCATAAAAGGGTTTTTTTTTTCTTAATTAAATCAGCGAGCATGCACTCAAGCATCCTTACCATAGTAAATCAATTTGTGTGTGCATTGAATGAAAGCAAATTCAAGATATAAACACACCACAGAACTGATTTCATGTAAGGCATTATTATAAGCAGTATGAAAAGTGCTTTTAAAAGCACTGTAAGAAACACTTTGACAGTGCTCCTTTAAAAATGGATTTAAAGGGAGGTTGATACCTTCTTCCAATCCATAGATAGATCTGAGCACCACTGTAGCAAAGAGCACAGAACTGATTTTTACTTCAGATGTACCAGTAAGATTAAATTGATCCTTGCTCATTGTACCATATAAAAATCAACAGAAAAGCCAAAGAACATGGAAAAACCAAGGGAATCTGCAGAGGAAAAGGTCACAGATACATGTAGTTTGATAAAAAAAGAGAAGCCTTCTCCCCAAATACCTACATGCACTCTTCCACAACCCCACTCTATCATTATGAAAAGCTCCTTATGATTTTAAGAGACAGGAATATGCCAAAGGCAGTAGATGTTGAGAAGAAATAACAGCTAGTACAGCCACAGAGTGCAGCTTACATGGGCTGCTAAAACAGAAAGCTACAAAGACAAACCTGATATTCCTTCCTACCAGTAACTTTGATATTTCCTGCTTTGGAGTATAATAAAAAAGAAGCTGGTCCTATTGAACAGGACTGGCAAACCTGGAAACCAAAAGCACACACCAAGTGCAATACTGATGTCCCCAGGCCTCCCACTGTGACCCAGCTGCAGCGAGGTGCCCCTTCCAACCTTGCTGCCACCACTGACTCAGTGCCACCTCTCCGCCCTCTCACGGACAGCTGTCCATAGGCAGTTCCACATGTCCATCTGCACAGAATCAGACACTCAAGTTAGGGCTGTAAATTTCATATCCCATAACAATAACAGCCAATGAAATAGACTAGAATTTTTAAGCCTTTATGCCTACACTCGTCTGCAGACAATCCTTTCCAACCTTGCACTACTCCGAAAGGATCTAAAACAGTGTGGAAGGCTGCAGCTGAGGAGCTGCTGTTTACCACAGCACAGGTGTCACCACCTGTACCTTCTTCCTCCTCACCTTCTTCCAGCCTCTCAGCAAAATGCAGTTTTCACTGCCAGGTGAGCGGGGTCTCCCCCCAGCTCCCCACCAAAGGCAGTCTGGGGGGGCAGGCAGCAAAGAGCAGGAATGAGGTGGCAGCCACGACAATCAGCCCCAGTGGCATCCATGGAAGGTGTCAAACTATGGCCTGAAAATCCCAAAGGGCCCTCGGGCAGTGGGGATGCCAGGGGGATGCTGGTCCTCCTCCCTTAACACAGGCCATGGACCGTTTAGGGGATCTACTGAAGGCACACTGAATCATAAAATCACAGAACAAGCTGAGTTGGAAGGAATCCATCAGGACCATCAAGTCCAACTCCGGGACTTGATGGTCCTGATGGACACTGCAAGAGTCACACCGTGTGCTTGAGAGCATTGTTCAAACACTTTGACTCTGTCAGGCTGCATCTCTGTCAGGCTTGCCTGACACCACTTCCCTGCGGAGTCTGTTCCAGTACCCAGCCACGCTCTGGGTGAAAAACCTTTTTCTAGTATCCAAACTAAACCTCCCCTGCACAACTTCCATTGTGCCATTGCTTTAAGTCCTGTCACCGGTCACGAGAGTGAAGGGATCAGCGCCTGCCTCTCCGCTTCCCCTCTCTTTAGAGAAGGCTGGGTGCATACATATATGTACATATTTTTACTATCATATTTTCCAGGGAGAGTGCTGCAAGCGCCTTTACACGACCCACCATAGTATAGCTCGGAGTCCTCCTGTAAGGAGCGCGGGCAGAGCGGAACGCCCCGCACCGCCGCCCGGGGCACAGCCCGGCCCGAGGGAACAGGGAGAGAGCCCGCGCTGCCCTCACGCTGCGCCGCCGCCCGCCCCGCCATGCCGGCCCCCCGCCCGCGGGCTCCCCCTACCTGTCCGAGCAGCCGCCAGCGGGCTCGGGCCGCCGCCGCACCGCTCGCCCCGCACTTGCCCGCGGTGGGGCGGCGCGGGGAGCCGGCAGCCTCGGCCATGCGGTGGCGGGAGCGCCGGGAGCTGGCGCGGTGGGAGGGAGGGAGCGCTGTCTTGGGCGGCGGGGACGGGCCGCTGAGCATCCAGCGGCTGCGGGACCGGCCGAGCTAGGGATGGACTGCGAGGAGGGGCGCGGCCATCTTTGCTAAGGGCAGCGCCGAGCGACTCTCAGCGGCCGAGGAAGCGCGGTGCTCTTCAGGCCCGGCGCGGCGTGGGCTCGCCTCAAGACAAGTCGGCCGTGGCAACCGCGCCCGGGGACGGGACTGGTTGTAGCACGGCGGCCACCAGGGAAAGCGTGCCCGCCCCACCGTGGGTCCGCGTCCCGGCGCTGGCATCAGCGGCGCTCGGCCGCCGCGGCTGCTGAAGTGCCCTGCCGCCATCTTAGTTGCGGGCAGCAGATGCCCCCGGGAGCGCTGCCGCCCGCCCGGCATCTGATCCCGGGCAGCCCCGGCCCAGCGGGAGCGGGAGGAGCGGCGGCAGCGCCACGGCGAGTCCTTGCGCGGGCCGCGGGCGGACGGGCAGCGCCGGCGGGGAGCGGGGCCGCGCCGGGTCCGGCGGACACGTGGGGCCGTCCCCTGCAGTGCTCCTGCGAACGGGGTTCAGCTGCTGCTGCTGCCCAGGGAGCCTCGGGAGAGAGCGTGGCTTTGGTGTTACACGACGGGGAGCTCAGGGGGGGCGACTTCTTCAAACTTTCCCAGTGTTCTGTCCTTCAGCGTTTGGACGTGCGCGGTTGCAGCTCGCCTTCTCCTCATAACTGGAGTTAAACTTTGGGCCGCCCGGCATGTTCAGGTTAAAATGTGGGTGCCAGTTGTTAACAGACCAAGTTTAACTTATTTTCTTCTCATTTGATTTACTTAGTGAATCAATGACATTTCTTTGAAAGAGGAAGTTTACGCTATGTCTGTTTCCTCTGTGTGTATGTACATTTACGCCTGCTGTTTACGTTATGTATATTTCACACGCACAGTGTAAATGATCGGCAGTTTGGGATTCTCAGAAATTCCAGGTTGGCTGTCGCGAAATGAAGGTTAGGATGTGCTGCGCTGGACTGCGGAATCTTCTCCAGGGGCTGACCTTCAGTGCCAAGTACTACTCTAAGCATAACCCTCCTCAAACAGTGTGTCCTTACAGTAAAACTGGACCAAAAAAGCGCCACATCCTGGGCTGTTCAAAAAGTACGTGCACCCACAGGACTGCACCACCTGGAAGCATCCTGCCATGCAGATTCTTTTCCTGCAAGGTATGCTGTTAGAAAATAGACCTAATACCAACAACCACCTTGGCACATCTGTTAAGGAATCCAGTCATACTTTTCACATGTTGAAGAAACATGTATTTCCCAGAGGATTTTAAGCAGACGAATAAAGTCCAGAATATCAGTTACGATCAAGGACATGTACCATTGTTCAGCTTTCCTATGCTGTTTTGACATAAAGCTGCATTTTGGTTGATTTTCCTGCTATTGTAATTTTGAAAAATTGGTATCTTCTAGACTTAGGTAAAGTGTCAGGAGAAAACTGGGAGAGATCAGCTAGGGTAGAGGCAAAGTGTCCAAACTGATGATGCCAGCCTGTGACCTGTCTGTCTCAAAAAACACTTGACTTTTCTGTGTTGACCAGTAGGTCATGGTTTCCGTCATATTAAAATATAACATGATGCTCACATGTTCTGAACTATATTTTAAAAGGTATTTGCATTGATTTCTGTATATAAATATTGTGTAATTGGATGGGAGTAACTCTCATGCACAGAGTCGGAAAGCAGTCTGAAATAATTTTAGGTCTTGTGTCTCAGTGTCTCTAATACAGATTTTTTTGGAGGCATTATAAAAGTTCACTGCAGTATGACAGCCTAGAAACTTACTTATATGTATAAGTATTGTTTAAAAATATGTTTGTTTTGGTTTATTTGATCCTTAAACATGTTTTCAGATAGGTGCATGATTGTCCTAAAATTGTTTCAGATGGTGTTTCTTCAGAGGTGACACCAAGGTCATCTTGTTGTAACTTTTATTTGTCACCATGAAGTAAAGAGTTCCTAAGTGTCTCAAATGTAAGCAGATGTTTCAAGGAGAGCATAGGAGGTCTGGAGGGACGAGAATGTGTGTTCAGTTTACTCAGTGGAACTTCACTAACACAACTGTTACAAGTGCTGCTCTTTGACACTGGTCCCAGCATGCAAACATGCTTTTCACCCGAAAGGAGGCTGTGCCTGTTTGCTTTGGAGCAAATGTTTGCACACCAGTTGTCACTGAGATCCTCTGCTATCCTGAAAATCTTTCAAGATTGCTGGATTTTCCCCAGGTAGGGAGGTGTACTGTACACTCTTAATACATCCCTACACTGTGAACACCAGCTGTATATAATATTTCCAAACAAATACAATGGGAATTGCTGAAAACAAAAGGAGGGCAATCATCAAAAGATTCATAAAGTGTGGAACTTGTCAAAATAAGTTGTGGATGCTAAAATTTTACATAGGTATAAGGGGAGACATATATGAGATATAGCTATGTCATACATGAGAGAAGCTTTTTAAATATCCAGAAACCATGTTCAGGTCAGGAAATTACTGAGGAAAAATTGTTTAAGGCTGGGGAAAATCATCTGTCTTGTCCCATTCTTACGCTTTCCTAAGTATCCATTTATGGCCACTGTGAAGTTTTATTTGGTTGCATCATGTTTGGGGCGTGGTGTTGTCTTACAATAGTTTTTCGAGTGACTGGGGTGAGTCGGTACACCTTTGGTATCCAGCATTTTGCTTCTCCTGACCAGTCACTCGCTTGCTTTAGAGCTGCTCTAAGAGCCTTCACACTTTCTTTGCCTTGTGCCAGGTGACAGGGAGGATTGGTCTCAACCAGTGACAGACTCTCTCAGCTCTCAGCAATGATGTGCTTTGTGTTCATAGGAAGTTTGGTAACTGGAGCAGATGGTTTCCCTTCAGAGTCTACTTGGAACATTCACATTTTGGTTCTTACGAGTTTCAGAAGACAAACTAGGAACAAACCAACATTCCTTAATGGAAAGTAAGGACAGGATATGAAGCACAGGCTGCTTTTTAAGCTCAGACACATTCAAATCTTACATTGAATGTTATAAAATGCTGCTTTATGTGATCTGTGCAGTACATGTAGTGTAATATAAGTTGTGAGGCTTACTAATTGATCAAGTGAGATTTCACAGCATGCAAGAGGAAGCAGCATTGTTCTAGCAGTTTTAACACACTTTTAACATTTTTTACAATAGAAGACAACTTTGTTGGCAGTGAGGTAGCAGTAATCTCATATTTCATGGAAAAACAGATCCTTAAACTTATTCCTGATAAAATTGTTGCAGAACCCATATCAGTTCACTTCATTCCACACCTTATGAACATTTATATTAACACTTCTGAGGAGGTGGAGCAAGAACCTGAATGAGCTGCTAGGACTCTGAGGTACAGGGACAGAGGTGTGGGCACCGTTGTCTAGGAGAGGAGATGAGAAATTACACTCTAAAGACAGGACATTATGAAAGAAAGCTGTGAAGAAGGAAAAATAATAGATCAGGAAGATCCAAAAGATCAGGAAGAGTTAAAATAAAACACATACCAACTGCAGTTTTTGTTTTTATTGGCATGTACTTTTGTAATAATGCAAAGGTGGTTTTGGGCCTGTGGCTCAGGGGATATCGCCTCAATGTATTCAGATTGGTGTGCAGTGTGCTAGCTTGTAGCCATTGTTGTCTTTCCTTACTTAGCAGGAAGGAACCAAAGTCCCTTCCAAAAGGAAGCAAAATACATCCATAGACCTTTTGCACAAGAACCTTCTGAAATCAGAGCAAAAAAACTGGAATAACATTTCACCAACATACAAAGCTATGACAAAGAGGATCAAAGAAAAACTGGAAGAATTGCACAACATGTATACACTCAATTCAAGAAGCCCAAAGGTAAGTGGCAAACAAAACAAACATTTCCCATCACTGACTACAAATAAAAGGCAGTGGAGCTGTTCGTGCTATAAAATGCTGGTTTACTCTTTTTTTTTTTTTTTTTTACAGTAGAAATTTTGAATATTTTAATAATTGTGCATAGTAACAGTTTGCGTTTAGAACAGCTTATAGTTGTTATGACAGTGAATTTACCTTAAATTTTCCACAGGCAAAAGCAAATAAAGATAAAACAATCATCTGACTTTTGGATAAAGAATACAAAACATTGTAAGTTGCAAGAGCAGTTGCAGGTGATCTGAGCTTTCTGTGAAATTTAGAGCAGGTAGAGGTAGCTTAAGTACCCTAACTGAAAAAACCTTTCTGATGTGTGCTGTTCCTTCTTCAGTATGGAATATATGTTCTGTCATTTGTTACAATTTGTTACACTTCTGCTGTACAGAAAAATGACTGTATATGGGGATTCAAAGGAAATAGTATGCTGGACTTGAAATATTTTTGTTTGTATTGAACAGATGAGGTTTGGAGAGAATGTGTACTTTGAAGAGAATGGCTGCATATTTCTTGCAAAAGCAGATGATGGTAAGGGATTTCTCTTTCTAATATGGTAGGATTCTTAAAAAGGGTATACATGTATCACTTAGTGTTCTTTTCTTGCATTAATTTGTAACTTGTCTGTTTCTTAACTAAAAATACTTTTATACAATTCTGTAATAGAGTAATAATTCTAGAATCCTGAATCTGAAAAAGTGAGGTTGAGAGTTAGAGAATAGTATATATTGATACTAAGGCACGTTGCTGGAGAGGAAAGAGAGAAGACACTTCTTTGCAGAGCCCTAACCTAACACTTTGAAGAAAGGAAAAGAACATCCATGCTTTTTTTATTTCTGAGGTGGGGTGAAAGAATTTCTAATTTTATTTATTAAAAACAACTGCACCTTAGCTATCTGAGCTTTAAAATTCAATATGTTTAGTAGAAGCCAAGATCTACACTTTTGAAATATTTTTAGTAATAACTACAGGACTTCTTTACGTGGTACTGTAATTTTTTTGTTTATTTTTACAAAGTGCATTTGCAAATATCATGCAAGACAGGTATTTGTTGTTGATAAATTCCAGTAGGATGTTTGTGAATATTGGAGACAGATTTGTTAGATACAGACATTAAGAATCACCATTCATTTTGACAGTGTCTTAATTACAGGATTTTTTGCTACCTCTTTTTCCTGTGTAATAGGTGAAGGACATGCTAAGATTTTATTCAGTGTTGAAGATCTTGGCTTTTCTGATGCCTTTATTCAACGGATCAGAATTTCACCAGATCAGAGATACATGGCCATCAGCTTAAAAAGTGAAAATTCTGAAGAAGCAACCTGCATTGTTATGAAACTTGGTAATCTTCCTGTAGTGGAAAAAGTAATTCCAAGTGTATTTAGTTTTGGTAAGTAGTTTATAAATATCCTGTGGATCACACAAGCTTTCAACACAACGCTTTTTTTAGTTTAAAGATAATATTTTTTTTTTAATGAAGGCAATATTTAATCCTTATAGGTGTTGAATTTTTTCTTATGGTTTCTTTAATGCTGCATGATTACAGGCTGTCTGATATGGATGAAAGGGACTGCTTCCTGGATACAAGTTTTCCTTAATTGTAAAAGCATTTATACACATTACAACAGTCATAATTTTTTCCATTGAATCCAATATGCTGTATTCAAAATATAGTGACGTGACTGTCATATAAAGGTCTTTTTGAGGGATATTCTGGTTGGTAAACCCTTGCAATACAACTGAAGTCACTGGTAGCTTGAAAAGTTGGAAGCACTACCTACTAGTGAGTATTGGCTGGAATTTCAACTGGAATCTACGATGTGGGTCACACTTCAGAGCCCAGTGAAGTCAGCCAGGCCTTGAATCAATTCTTTCAGAATAGATTACAGAGCTTTACATTGCTGTTAAAAGAAGCAGAGGTAAATGGAAGTGAATTGGAAAACATTTTATAGTCTGTTAAAGAATATAACAGAAGGAGTATAATAGTATGTACACAGTGTTCCACATCTTGTACTTTGGTAGATGTCATCAAGTATATCTAGTGCAGTAAGCAATTTGCCTGGGCAGAGCAAAAAAAATAAAACTCTATGTAAAACTTCCTTGTTAAAAAAAATGAGGAGCTGCAAGAATTTAGTGTTGTGTTTCCACACTGAAGATTACACTACCTATTGAAAAATAAACATGCAAATTTGCCTATGACATTTTACAACATACTTGATTTGAACATTTATCTAGGTTGATCCAGAAGAATCAGTACAGTTAAGAGACCAACATGCTGTTGCCTAAATAGGTGTGACAGATAATAAAAGTACAAAAGATGGCTATCAGAATGGTAAATTCTGTAAAAGGTAAAGGTAAGGTAAGGTTGTAAAAGTAACCTGTAAAGGTAAGTCAGGTGTTAGTGAGGTACAGCAGTAGTGCAATGAAGCACAGAGGTGCCTCAATCATGAGCAAAAGAATTAGGTCTTAAAACCACTTGCAAAGTTTATGGGCTTGTATTGAGTGATATAAAATAGCAGGGAGACAGACAAAAGTTCCTGAAAATTTACACCTTGATTTTTGGATAGGCTAGGCTATAGAAAAACTTGGATTTGACCTCTAAAGGCTTGTCTTCGTAGTGAATCCTCAGCCACCTGTGCACTTTGGAGCCACATTGCTGTTCAGAAAGGGAAGTGGTTGTGTTATTTTGGTGTTAGGAATTCCTCGGGTTTGGTACTGAAAATCAGTATTTATGCATAAGACACATACAGCAGCTTTTAAAAGCACATGTGTTAAACACCATTCTGTTGGCTGTAGGAGCAGCAGAGATGGCAGGAATGTGGCTGGATCAGTCAGAAGAACTTCAGAATAACAAGGTTCCTGTATTTATACCTTTCTATGTTGGTGAACACATATACAAGCATAGAAAACTGGAGAATTTTTATCTCAGCAGTGCCCATGGGGCACATGCATCATCTCTTTTCTCTGAATGGCTTGTGTGCAGTCACATGCAGCAGTGCAGAGCTTACGATGTCTTTATTATCTTGCTGACTCCATGTAAACCTCTTTTTCTCTGCTGTTTTAAACAACCACGTCTCCTATTTTCCTGTTACCTCCAGAATCCACACAGGGTCAACAGCTTCCTGTTACTGGGCCCTGCAGCACTGACCTCTGCTTTTTTTTTTTTTTTTTTTTTTTTTCTTTTTTTTCAAAGCATTATGAGATTTTTGTTCTGTGGTATTCAGAGAAAACATGGGAAAACCTTTTGGCTCTTACCTCAGTCCCCACAGGATACAGAAGTGCTGTCCTTAGTTCCATGCCACCTACAACCCACCTTTTTCAGCACTGGGTCCAGTGTCCATGGGAGTCCCATCTTCTCTCAGTAATATCAGTAATATCATCTTCTCTCTGAATTTAATATGCATTTGTCTTTTTTTTCCAGAATGGGCTGCAAATGATATTCTGTATTACACAACTCAGAAGAACCTTAAATGCCAGAATGTATTCATGACCACTTTCACTTACCAGAAACATACTAAGTTAGTTTATACAGAACAAGATGCAAGGTAATACATACCTAAAATATAACAAGTCCTTTACATACTTTAAGAGTATTTTATATGTAAATTATAACTGGTTTGGAAAACAAACTGTTCCATATCGTATTTCAAATAGTAAAATGCATTTTTGTGTTCTGCTGTCAGTAGTGCCTTATACAGCCTGAGAATGTGCTCTGTTCTCCTTTTGATGTGTGATCAACAGTGATTTAACTTTCCTCTCTTACCTCATGAGTTCAGCTGAGTTTATAAATGTCAAGGTCACTCTCAGGTCAGGGTGTCCTTTAATGAATGTGTGACAGTTTCATACAGGGTAAATCAGACCACAGATTTCATTTTGTTTTCTCTGCTGTTGATGTCTGATACATCTTTTTAAAAAAATACATAAGTTCAGGCTAATCCTTGCTCTGGGTAATGGATTGGCAAAATCATTACAACATTCCAAGAGACAGAACTATTGTTGACTGAATACCCTCTCAATAACCTTTCTTTAAGCAGTGGTTTAGGAAGACAAGAAAGCTCTTTGCTAAATTGAGTGCAGAACTAGCTTTTCAGCATTGTAGCACATGGTATATTTATACAGCATTGCATAAATATTTGTGATTATTCTTAATTCAAGTTACATATTCAGTAAAGAAATGCCAATTATACTTTCATCGGGAAAAAAAAAAAAGAAAGCAAACAAAAAAATCTGCAATGGAGATGGAATAAATAAGATCTTTTTTTTTCCAGCTGCATTTGATGCATCGTTTTGGAAAATCAAGTTGCAGTGACCTGGCACTTCCCCACAGGGAAACTGTTAGCATAATTCTGAAGGTCACAGTCATTACAGTAGATCTACTAGAAACTTACTCTAAAGGTTCATGTGCTATTGCAGCTCATAGCTGAGCTACTTCATTGGAGATGGCAAGGCATTCTTTTCTATTGCCATTGAGCAGTTCTGTTCTGCCTCTCACGAGCTCTTCTAATTGCAATCAAATATTTTTTTAGAAGTTGAAAATTTCTTGATTTTTTTTAAAAGCTACAAAGATAAAAAAATTGTAATGTCAAGGTCATAATCCTTGGAGAGAAGTGTAATATGCATTTCAGCTCAACCCTCTTAGAAGCAGGATCAGCAGAGCTGAACTCTTGGAATCTCTACTGAATGCAGTGCCACATTCTTGCCAAATTCATGGGTATTAGACAGGCAGGAGGCTGATTTCTCTTGCAGACTTTAGCTCCCCCTCTGTGCCTGTACTAAAGATGTCAAGAGGGTGCAATTAGAAAACCAATAGTACCAAAAATATTTGAGATCCTCCACCTGCAAATAATTAAAGGCACTGAAAATACTATCTAAAGCATTCTTTTCTTCACCAGTCAAATACTCTGAATCCTAGAGAGATCATCATTACAGTCATGTATCTGATCTGTGTGATGCAGATTATGGTACTCAACCCTACATTTTCTTGATGGAATCTGGATCTTTGTGTTGGACCGTTTTGCTTTTAGAGACATCCAGTCTTAAGGGTTCAAAATGGCAAAGAGACTGTTCTGGTCCAAGATGTGAAATTCCAGTTAACTCGGATGACTGACAGAAATTTGAATCTGAATTTCAGCCTGAACTTCTCTACTATTAGCATCCAGGCACTGGTTATCATTCTGCTTTCTGTTTCTAGATTTTAGAGGGATTTAAATCCAGTAGATAGTTCCTAGTTTCTTAGTTCCAAAACCAGTGCCTAGTTTCCAGCTTTTATCACTCCAGCACTGTCCAATTTGCCTCATATAGGCCTCTGTAATTTTTTTCTTTTTAAATAGTACTTTTTGTCTTATTTGCTTCAGACAGTTAGGTTAGTAGGACATAGACATTTTAACAATTTAATTTTTTATTAGCTCTTACTTTTGTTATTGCTGTTCCCACATGATGTCATTTATTATTTTAACTATCCACTACTTTTTACTACTTTTTTTTTTTTAAATAGGGTTACAAGCTCAATAAAATGTTCTACATTTTGCCTGAATTTTAAAGCCTGTATGCATCAACGAGCTTCCAGTCTAGCTCAATGATGCAAAAACCTGGATTTAGTTGGACAACAACTAACTAGCTTTCCTTGCAGATTTCAGGTTTCACACACAAGATAGAAGGGTTTTAAATCCCAGGGGAAATGCAGCAGAAATGGGTCTGGGAGCCAAGTAGCCTGAAATTTCTCCAGTCTGCTTACAGAAATGTTGTTTTTTACCTTGCAGATGGAAGCCCATGATTCTGAAACAACTGATGTATCTTAAAATACTGATAAAATTTAAGCTTTTTCTTTTCTCTTTTTTTTTTTTTTTTATGATTCCCTACAGATTCTTTGTAGACATTTATTGCACAAAAGACAGGCATTTTCTCACTATCAACAGCAACAGCAAGACAACCTCAGAAGTTTGGCTGGTTGACTGCAGACGTCCCTTTGAGTCACCTGCTCTTGTACAAGCACGAACCACGGGGGTCATGTACCACATCGAGCACAGAGAGGAGCAGTTGTACATTCTTACTACATATGGAGAACCTGCAGAATATAAGGCAATTTTAACTGATAATTATATTAATAGGATTAACATAGATGCCTATTGCAGGTCATATAGAAGTAGTAAGGTTGGCTTTTAATTCTGTTCATCACAGCTTACTGAAGTAAAGTAAGAGTGAGGGCTGCATGGATTAAAAAGACTGATAGTGCTGCATGGAGTCTCACCTGTAGGAGGCCAGTTTGATCCTAACTCCTTTGACAGCATCAAGAAATGACTATGCTTCAACAGTCACTTCCCCTATATCAAAACTTAAATTGGTGATCTCAGTTTGTGTAATCAACCCCACCTGCAATTGTGCTGGCCATACTGAAAGCACTTACTGTATTGCAATCTTCTGTAGAGTAATCTTTGAGGCTTTGTCTTCTCCAAATGTTACTGCATTGCTCTTCCATTTTGCCTAAGTAAAGGGAGTTTAAAAATCTCCAGTTTTAGACAGACAAACACCCCAAATACAAATAAGTATTTTTTGCAAGAAAAATGTAAGAGATCACCTATAAGTCTGTACCTCTCATCTGTAACTCTTAGTACATTTTAGTAATACAAGGTTCTTTGTTTTTTTGGGTTTTTTTTATAGTTGATGAAGGCACCAGTAGCTTCCAGTGGCAAGGAGAACTGGCAGTTAGTTTATGCACTGGAAAAGAAAACCAAGCTAGTAGACTTTGAGATGTTCAGTGATGACTGTATTATGTTCCTGAAGAATGCTGGTCATCTTTACTTAAATGTGATTTCTTTTGTTTCACACTCTGTTCAGTTGATAAAGGTATGTTTTAGCTTGGTTTAAGCAGCATAATATTTTTCCAGCTTTTTTTTTTTGGGGGGGGGGGGGGGGGGGGGGGGGGGTTGGGTTTTGTTGGGGTTTTTTGTAGTTTTGTTTAGTTGGTTGGTTGGTTTGGTTTTTTTTGTTTGGTTTTTTTTTGTTTGTTTTTTTTGTTTTTGTTTTTTTGTTTTTATAACATAATGAAAGCAAAGATAAATTACACAAGCAAAAAAGTGGTTTGGAAGCTTATTTATACTGGCAATTTCATTGTTATGACTAATTGTGTTACCTGTGGCTGTTCTTCAGGATTTGATGTGGTGGCTTATTGCAGCATTTAGAAAGTTAAAGAGCAGCTATCCCATGAGCCAGTTCTTTCTTCAACGGATTACAGTCAAGCTCTTACAATATAACTGACTTCTAATGTAAAACAGAACTTAGTTCCCTAAATGCCCTACTTAGTTTTACTGAGCCTTTTTTTGCTTACACTCATTGGTGTAAGCAAGGCCCCTCCCACAGGAAAAAGATTAATGTTCAGAAAACAAGTATGGACACTGTCCCATGATAAATGAGAAGAGTTGATATTGCAGTACCAATGGTGCAAATGATTTGCTTCCATTCTCTAGCTGTTAAATACCTGTAGGTTAAAAACAAAGTAACTTAAGCCAAATCCAGTTTCGGAAGTTCACTCAGGTGAAATATTTAATTGATTTATTTTCCTGAAAAATACAGTCTGAACAACTCCCAAGTTTATTGCAACAAGCTGCCAATACTGCACTCCATAAAACTGCTACAGAAAAAGGATTTCCACAAAGTACACTGTATGGTCTCCAAAATCTTCAATTTTTTTTAAAATGGACATAGTTTATTTATTCAGAAAGGGCCTGCAGTTACTCAGGAGAACTTGGACTTCTGCTGCCTTTTCAGAAGCCTCTAGCAGCCTAACCCAAGTAAGTAATGGTCTGGCAGAGGGTTTGGCTATGTCCCTGCTGCTCTCAAAGAATGAATCTTGATTTCTTTCATTCTTAGCAGAGTTAAAAACCTTAAATATAATAACAGTAAGTATCTGAGGGTGAATGTGCCAGGAAAAGGGTTTTGTTCTTCACAATGGCTGGCACTAGGAACAAAGTTAAGAGGCAGGGGTTTTCAGTGGCTTAGCATTACTGAGCTAACTCACAGTAAAAGCATAATAGCTGACATGGACTTGGCTGTATAACGTGTTGAAGTAGAACTGGAAATGCAAGGAAAAATAGGATCTAAAAAATAAAACTGATGCAGAATAATTTCAAATGTTTTCTTTTAAAAAGTCTGCACTAATACCCATTTTAAACTGAATTTGAATTTATTTTTTGTTTTTAATTCATTGTCCAACTTTATCCAATGATTTTGGGGGAAAAGTTCACCAGTCTTTCACTTCTTGACTGTTTTGTTACTGGATTTAAATGAAATTCAGATTGTGCTACATACAAACTAAGATAATTAATTAATATCCAAAGTCTTTTACTCTGAAGGACATATTAGGCTAAATTTACAGAAGCAGTGTAAAGGTCTCACTTGAAATGCCATGTTTTTTCAGCTACCTACGTGGGCCTGTGAATTTGAATTGGATTCTCATCCTGAACATACCACCAGCACCTGCTATTTTCAGCTCTCCTCCCCAGTACACCCCCCTAAGCGTTTTGCATATTCATTTAAAGAAAATAATCTCATTGAACAAGCTGTGCAAGAGGTACCAATTATTACGAATTGTCACACTACACGTTTACTAGCTAAAAGCAAGGTAAGATTTTTCAGTCTTTTTCCCATTCCTTTTATTCTTTCCTTCCTCCCCACCCATTTAAAGAAAGTGCATTTGGCAGGGAACAGAGATTAAAAAATGTAAAGAGCAGTTGGTGCTATAGTTATTAAACAGTGGGTGTTTTCTTCAGTGCTATACAGGAGAACAAGAAAGAGTCGTGATTTTTTTTTCCATTAACCTGGGTATTCCACAGGAGATAACAGCACACGATGAGTCAAGAAGCTTAGTATAAGTGAGAATTGCTAGTTGATGTAATGGTATTTTACTCCACATGATAAATGAAAAAGGTGCCAGCTGTTGAAAAGAGCATCCCACAACCAGCTGCACAGTGCAGATCAAGAAAGGAAAGTTTTAACAGCCTGAGTTTAAAAATTTGGAGATGTTAATAAAGAGTTTGTGCTATGGTAAGTGGTAAACTCTATTGTTAATAACATATATTCATTAACACATATATGGTGTTAAAGGGGGAAGGAAGACTTGGGTGCTTTGGTAGTTTGAAAACTCCTCAGGTGTTGCACTTAAATGAATTTATACTCTGCATCCGTATGCCCACACAGCAGAGGTTCAGTCTCAGGCTTTATTTTTCAAGAGTGCTTTGTAGACTCTAAGTGAAAAAAAATTACTGTAATCAAAAAAACACATTTTAAAATAAATAATTGAAGTTTTCATTGCCATATGTCATTGAGATTTCTGCAATGTCCCTTATTGTAAAACTACTCCTTCTTTTCCAGGATGAAACTTTGGTGCCAATTACAGTTTTCCATAATAAGAATTCTAAAGAACTACACAGGAGACCACTTCTAGTTCATGTATATGGAGCTTATGGCATAGATTTGAACATGAGCTTTAAAGAAGAGAAGCTGATGTTAATTGAAGAGGGTTGGATATTAGCATATTGCCATGTTAGGTAAGTCAAATACAAAATGGAAATAAGATTTTATTTTGCAGGATACACAGATTTTTGTTTATGTACAACTCAATATGCACCATTTTTTTCTTTTTTTTGTGTGTACCCATACCTAATGATTCATATCTTCTTAGATTTTTTTTATTTAAGTAGTTTTTAAATTTACCTCAGGGAAAAAAACCACAAGAGCACACTACATTTTCGATTTCTTAAATCTACACGATGGCTGTATGTAACTTTTAACTTTTTTCAAGTCTCATTACTTCTTATCTCATCTTTGCTCAAGAAAAAATTCAGTTAGATGCTCAAATTGCCATGACATGTCATCTCCCTCTCCTTCTGAGAGCATTGTGTGTTAATGCTTAGTCTGAGTCTTCTGAAAGCCATTTACATTCCACAGCAGCAACTAAGCATTTAATCTGCAACCCTTGTTGTTTTATTGGCTCAATCCTCTATCTCCAGCTACAAATCTACCAGTTTTATAAAACTGCAAGGTACAACAGGCTTCAAAATTTTTTCAGTAGCTAAGGAAGATAACAAAAGAATCACTTAAGGGAGGGGAGGGGAGGGAAGGGGAGGAATGAGTAATTGTTGGAAATACCAGTCCCAAAACAAATTCAGCAAATATATTCAGTCTGCTGTACTCAGTGGCAAGCATTGTGCTGTTCTTCCTTACACCCCACTAAGAATCTTAACATGCAGGTCAGTCCTACATAAAGATGGATTTGTCATCCAAAGATGGCAGGCTAATCAAATAATCTATTTGAAACCTGAAACCAGAAGAGGAAGCTTCAGGTGGCTTAGAACCAAAATTGTGGTTGCATAGAAAGTATAAATTATTTTTATTATTCTGCACTCCAAAATGTAACATTTCAAGTAGCATTTGAAATTCACAAATTAGGGAGGAAAAAACCCAAACCCAACTTTCTAACAGTCTCAGAATTTAAGCTAAATGGAAGACAAATCCTGAGAGTCTGGTGTGGAGCTCAGAAATACTGTTCTACTGTTTTTAATAAGTAATAGTGTTAGTAATGGAAGTATTGGAAATGTTTTCAATATTTTCATAGTTTCCTGTATAAAAAGATAATGTTATCTGATTTTTTATTGCCTACAATGAAAATGTCATTCCCTAAAGTGTTGCTTTTCCTGTGGATTTCAAGACACAAGCACATGTGCCCTTCTACAGTTACAGTGATTTTCACCAATCATCATGAATGGATTTATTTTGCCCTAATGTTTTCTCTTTTAGCCATAAAGAAGGGTAAAGGCAAAAGCAGAGAAGAGTTAGTTGGGAAAGTAAACTATGATGTGCCACTCTGTGGCTGCTGCTTTTCTTTTGTTATCTGAAACTATGCCATGTAGTGTTTTCTGAAGAGACTCCAACTTGAATTGCATTAAATTTCAGGGGTGGAGGAGAGCAGGGCCTTAGCTGGCACAGAGATGGATGTCAGCATAATAAACTCAAAGGTCTCCATGACCTCAGGGCTTGCATCAGGCTGCTGCACCAACTGGGATTTTCTCAGCCCAAACACACAGCACTGGCAGCTGCCAGTGCTGGGGGAGTTCTCGCAGGAGCCCTGTGCAACACAGATCCAGCACTGATCAGAGCCGTGGTTTTACAGGTGAGCTGCTGCAGACCTTGTACAGATTATAGCATTAAACTGTGTTATCTGTGTTATTGTACCACTTTCAGAATTGGAAACATTCCAGTTCAAAGCTCACTCTCCTCATTTGTTTGAGAACACCTTGACTCAGATACTCAAGGTCCTCTGTCCTATTTGCCAACTTTTTTTTTTTAATGACTTCTAAGGCTCCTTTCGTAGATGTTCTAAATACAATGATGAAAACTCATCTCCCACTGACAATTGAGGAACAAGAAGAATGGGGAAATCCATTAGAAGATGAAAAATGTATGAAGTATATCAAAAACTATTGCCCATACCAGAATATTAAGCCACAGGTAAAACTATGCTTTCTGTGCAGAATACTTCAGGCATGAAGTATAGTGGTTTATAAGAAAACCAGAAGTAGATCACTGAAATTTTTAAAAAACCTCCAATATAAATTATTTCAGTAATAATCTTAGCAATAGCTGGAGTCACAAGTGACTACTGAAATGAACCCAATGCCTTCTCCTAAATGATATGAATTTCTAAACTTGCTTTTGTTTTAGGACTTCCAGGAAGTAATAGATTATTGTGTAGCAAATCTCAACATGCAAAATGCCTTCTTTTGTGGGGGAGTTTTGACATCCTACTGTGTTTTGCTGGCTTTTTTGAAGACACGGGAGGAAGGAGGTTTACACTGGAGGTATTTTCCAGTGGAAGTTGGAGGTATTTTCCACTGATGGAAAATACCTCCACCTGAGGTCTCTTCCAGTGGAGGTGGAGGTATTTTCCACTGATTTAATACCTTTCTGGACGTATTAAAACAAACAAACACTGAAAGGGAAGAGGACCTATAGCTTTGACATTGTCAAATAGAGATTTCCTTTGAGATGACAGTGTGTTAGCTGTGTTGTGCAGCTTCATTAAGTAAAATTGTTACTATTTAAAAACCAACTTCTGTGCAGAAAGATTGCAAAAATAAACTTCAACTATTGTTCTAAGGTAAACTATTCCATGACTATTACTGCCTTTTTCTTTTTTTGCAATCATCAGCAAGCAGACAGGTATCAGACCTTTTCCAGTGGGAAGAGGATGTTTTTATGACCTTCTGCAAGTAGATTATGCCCAACTGTGAAGTCATTTTTCAGACCAAAATACTTTTTGCAGTTAAGAGTGATAAAACTCTTAGAAAATACTAAGTAATTAATGTAATAGATGAGTCCTTAAATAAACCCTAACAAGTTGCATGGTAAGAGAAAAGTGTGTTAATCTGTGAAAAACACCAGTTGTCAAGTATTTAACTGGTTTTGGTTTTTCATCTCAGTGCTACCCATCAGTTTTTATCACGGCGTATGAAAATGACGAACGGGTACCACTAACAGGAATTTTACAGTATGTGCAGAAACTCAGGAAGGCTGCACTAGATCATGCCAGCAGAGCGAGTAAGAAAGGTAAGGATAAAAATATCACAGATAAATGGAGTTAACTGAACCAAAATCTTAATAGTCATGTAAATTAAAAACCACAAGAGATTGACTCCTCCTTAAATGAATTCAAATGCAATCCCATATCACCAGCTCCACAGCAGACTCGGAACACTCTCTGAGATGCAGAAACAAAGACTGGAAGCCTGTGAGGGGGCTCACTCTTTCCTAGGCCTCCACAAAGGGCAGTTGTTGGATAGTGCAGGGTGAACCCACACTGTCACTCCAGCTGCTGACAGGGCTAGGCTGCAGTTCTCAGCAACCCTTGGAGAAAAATCTTATTTTTGCTGCTATATAAAAACCTGTTTTTCTCACTTTTCTAAAGCTGCAGGTCTTTAGTTCAAGCTAGAGTGACAAGGCCAAGGCACAGGTGCTTTTATACCTGAAACTTAACCCTGGCTTTGGGAGTTTCCAGCAAAAAGCACATTCAAGCTTGACAATTTTCTTGTACCATCCAGTCTGGGGAGAGGCTTTTACCATCATTACCAAAAGAGATCTTGAATAACATTTTCTACATTTCATGATGCCCTGTCTCTGAGCAGCACAACTGAAGTGGTTGAGAAATTGCAGCCACTGCTGCGGTTGCTGTTGTGCTCTTTGTGCAGGAAGAAAAGAGCATGGCTTTCCAAAAAGACTCAGAGAGAACAAACACACTAAACAGATTAATACTTTCCAAGTATGTAGTTATTAGAAATATAAATAATTCATTCAGAAAGCCCCTCTACAATTCTCTTTTTCTTAAGGAATAATAGAAATTCTGTCAGGACAAGAAAGTAGAATTAGCTATCCTTAAACAATTCACATACCCACTTAATATTTTCCTTGTTCATTCAATGTAAAGTGATCACCAACTTAATTGTTCCAGGAAATTGGATTCCTAATATCATCCTAGATGTCCAGGCAAATGGCAGTCATTGTGATTCATCCTGGGAGCACTCACTGCATGAGGTATGGTCCCTTTACCACACAGCTCCTTAACATGTTGCAGGAATGTGTCCCCTCAAGGAATTCTTCAGCCTCAGTAGCTGGGCAGTCACTGAATGTATGTTTAAACTATAAAGAAAAACTGCTAGAGCAACTGCTGATTTTACATATATATACATATATATATATATAAAATTTTAAAACCCAGCACTCTTTATATATAATTATATCTATTTTATACATATATATACTGGTACAGATATAAAAGAGTGACAGAGCCAGATTATTGAAATAGCCTTAAAATAGTGTTCAATTCCCACTGTAATGTGCTAGGAGCTTTGAATGAAAGGTTCTAAGTTGTGGAAAACACCATTCCAGCAGGAAGAGTCTTGTTCTGTAGTGTATTAAATGCTTAAAACTGTCATACTATTTACTTCTATCATCTTCCTCACTGTGTAAAGCATACATGATGGGTTGGATCTTTACATTTTGAAATGCATGATCTGTGCTATCAAAGCTGTTACAGTTAGCTTTCAAGAATTTGCACTTTATACAAGCATGCTTGTTAAAAGCAAAATACTGCCAAGACTTAACATATTTTTACTGATGTCTCGGACTGTCACAGTCGGATACAAATTTTATTACTCTTAATTTTAACAAATCCTAGAAGATGTTAATTTGGTGGTTATGGCATTTATTCCCAAGATGAATTCTTTCAGGAAAAGCTCCATGCTGTCTTAGGACAAGGTATTTCTAAGCATTAGTATAGGAAAGGAAGATGACTAGAATAGCTGCACAAGAGCCTGAATGTTTAGAGTGCAGAGAACTTTACTTTGTAATAAAATATTTTCATTATTTTAGGTTGCAAGACACCTTGCTTTTCTGAACAGAGAACTTGAGGAAGTGTGCCATCCCCAGCATCACAGCAAATCCTGCAAATAACTCCTAAACACACTGGCCACCTGAAAAACTTTGGGTCAGATTTGGATTTGTATGGAAGGCAAACACCTTCTCCAAAGGATCTCTCCTCTTGGATCTCTGCATTAAGGGCACAAGCACCACAAAGCTGGGTGTGGCATTGCCTTAAAAAAAATACAGACCAGGAACTGGATTTCTGCCCTGCCAGGCTGTGCAGAGGCAGGTGCCAGCAGAAGTGAGTTTGTCCAGCAGCTCTGTTCACGTGAGCCAGCAGAGCAGCGTGACACGAGCAGAGCTGGAGCACGTAGAGCGTCACAGGAGAGCCACAGGTACTTGGCACAGGCAGCCTTCCTGTCCAAGGCATCTCTTGCAAGGTACATCTTACAACAGAACTCCTCTGAAGCATCTGACATTCAAATCTCACTACTTCCAGAACTAATTCCCATACGTAGGTGATGGTGATTGCTGCCCTCTCTATCTGCGCAGCAGCCATGGTGTACTGATCATGTGGTGGCACTGACCAAACCGCAGAGGAAAGCACTCTCAAGAATGGGAGTTTGAGCAGAACTGTGATCTGAATAAATTAAAAATCTTGCCTACCTACCTAACCTCTTGTTACCTTACCTAGCATGGTAATCATAAGAAGGAGGTGCCAAATCCCTCAGGAGGACAAGACCAATGTGTCAGAAGATGCCAGAGTATCTCCAGAGGGTAAAAACAAAAAGAATGCCCCCACTAAAGCAGCCTGATTCATAGCTTACCTGCCCTCTGAGCAAGGCACAAATCTGCTGTGCATTGCTTGTTAAAAGAGGTGTGTGGTGCACACCTAGGGCCACATCAACCACTGCAGGTGCAGCAAATGCAAATCAGAGCACGTGTACAAGTGTGACATTCAGTAGGGTTGGTTCAGCTCCTTCCTCTGAACTAAAGTACACAGCCCTCACCTCAGCCTTAGGGCAGGAAAAGAAATAAGAGAAGGCAAACATATTCTAACTCAGCAGGGAGGGAGAGAATCAACTGGAAATGCAATTATGAGTGTGGAACTAGATATTAGCTACAGTTTGTTCTTTTTCTTACTAACTCTGAGGATAATCAGAGTTATTAGATTTGAGATAAGAGGTGAGACATCACAACAATATACACTAGTCCTGCTTGTGTTCACCTGTTTTAGCAAATATAGGGCCACCCCTTTGGAATAATTTTTATAAAGCTGCAGACTTCTAAAAAGTTACAGTGAACTGCCACAGGCTTGGGATTCCACAGGAGCACTTACAGACCAGCAGCCTCCAGGGTCAGCACCCAGAAAGCAACTGTTTCCTTCTCCTCCCAGAAATACATACTTAAACAGGACAGTTTTCAGAACAGGTTTACTTTTCTTCTCCACAGATCCTAAGGGGGAGTTTATACTATTCTTTTTCCTTTTCATCACAAATACAGATACAAGACAATTACGTATGTGATCTTTCAGGACATTGACTTTGTACACAAATAACATTTTAAAAGCTGAACAAAATTGAGTATTTTTAGCATTTCCCTGAAGCTACTATCTTCTAAATTAACATGAAAGCATGGGTATTCTACTCCACTACTTAACAGTTCACGTAGAGTAAATTGAGGGCCTTGGAATAACAAGCTTTTTCTGCCACAAAACACTTCCCTTGAAAAGCTTCCATAGTATGAACAGGCTTTGCTGTTTTATATTCAAGGACCAGACCTTCTCCCATTTCAGTTTTAATTAGTTTGGTATTGACCACTTTACCAGCATTGCTAAAATGAGTACTGAGCCTTATTACAGCTTCAGAGGGAAGGTTAGGAACTATGGCCTGCAGGTCTGTTGTCGACTCCTGGCCGAAGTTGAGCACCATCATGAAGACTCTGTCTAACCCATCCAGCTCCCTCACGTACACAAACACGTTGCTGTCATTCCAGATGAGGCACATCCACCCTCGATTCATGGGGAGCTCACTGTTCCGCAGCAAAGTCAGCGCTCTGTACACACTCAGGGTTGAGTTGGACCAGGTGCTCTGGGCCTGCAACAGTCAGCACCAACAGGGTCAGTTCTTGGCACCGCAGGGAGGAAATGCAGCTCCCTTCTCACACCCACTCAGGCTGCTGAGAACACGCCTATCGCAATTCCGTGCGCACAATTATCCCTCTTCAAATCTGTCTGCAAATTTCACCGAAAATCTGCTTTTCCTTGTGCGCTTCCTTGGCACGTGTGGAGTGGCAGACACAGAGTTTATTAAGCGTAACAGTTCCCCAGCACTAATGCAATTGCTTCTTCCCACAGCTTCCTTTCAGTACTGTTGATTCAGGAGAAAGCCACAGCCATTCAAAGCTTGACACTGAATCTTTTTCATTGAGCCAGTCTACTGCAGTCACAGGGTTTATTTCACGCTTTATATTTCTGCTATCTTAGGGTTTTTTTCTGCCTTCAATTTTGGTCAGTACTGTAGGTCAGCAAAATCTGTTTGATTCACTGCTCTACTTATGTTAGAGTTGGTCTATGTCAAGTTCTTGTTACAAAACCAGTTCTTTCTATAGCAATAGAAATGGGGGAAAAGAGACCAGTTTTCAATTTAATATCAAAAGGATTAAAAGGATGTTAAAGAGCCATATAGCAATGTCAACATCATAATTATTGTTACTCTGCTTAAATGAATATAGATGAAGTAGGCTCCTTGTTGTGCAAGGATTTCCTTTTCTAATAAAACTTGTGAGGATTCAGTGCTTCTTTTTTTTCCCTTGAGTTTGTTCCTGCTACCAATGCTCACTACTAAAAGGAAGCCAGAGCAAAATAGATACATTCAAATATGTTTAGACCTTTGAGACCATTAGTTTGTCACGCATGTAGATACCTACTTCCACATTTACACTTTGGTAGTCAGAGTTAACAGGTAACCAGCTGCTGTTGCCTTCAGTAAAACCAGCATTAACTTTTCCATCCCACTGCATGGGGGATTTCTCTGGGAGGGTTGCCTAGAAAATAAAAGTGGTGATTAGCATATTAAAAATTATTCTTTGAACAGCATGTTCTCACATCTCCCAAATTATCTCCCTTTCAGTACTGCTTTCTTTGGTTTAAGTTAAAAATAATGAGGATGTAATTGTGGTCCAAATCTAAGGAGAAAATGAGAATCAAGACGGTTCCTGAAATGGAGGGAGGGGATCAACTCAGATACAGCATTGCTGGGTAAAACGTGCAATTCCCAAATGACTCTTACTAGAGTTGTCATCCTCTGCAACAGATGGTTGGATAAAAGTTTACTAATGACAGCCAGGATATTCTGATAAATATCTAGGCATGCAGAGAGCGAATATGTGAGGTAATGAGTCCTTAGAAGAGATGTCATTAAAGTAACAGTAAACAAGAAGTAATTGTTGTTCAGTGTCTGTTATTTTCTAAGTATTGCACTTTTCACCCCAGAGCTCTTCAAGCTTACATTTGCAAGGGGTACAATTTTGACAGGACTGTTTGTGTTAGAAAGGTAAAATTATTATTTCCAAGTGCAAAACTATTGAAAACTGGCTTTTAGCTGATTAAAAATGTCGATGTAAAAAATGTCTGAAGTTCTCATTTTAAAGAATTCAGAAAAATTCTGAAAAAGCTTCCTCATTGTTACTGAAGAGCTGCCAAAAGATCTGACACTTAAATTTAATGATATAAGAGGGCATAAAATATTTTGCACATACTTTGAGTGTTTGTTTTCCATGAAAACTGTTTTTCATATAAAGGACACTTTTCAATACAATCTGTCAGAGCAGCAGCCTAACAAAAGAAATTGTCACTTTGCTTTGTGACATTATAAATAATGGGTTTCTTCTTTTTAGCATATTCTGAAAAGCAGGGAAAAAAATCCTAAGTTTTCAACACTGGTAACACTGCCTCTCATCTTTACCTCTTTCAGTGTCTCCTGAAGTGTTTGAAATGCTGGGACTAAAGCCTATATCATCCTGAGCAAATACTCTCCCATTTTCCTAAGACGCCCATTAATCAGGGAGCCTTCCTCTCCAGCCTGAGTGAAGGGTGGGTTTGCATTTGTTCCAAAGCCCTGAGCCACAGGGTAGCCACTAAAAGAGAGTGAACCCTGAGGAGCTCAGGGTGAGCCACTTTCCTTAAGAGAATCACTCTGTCAGCAGTAATCAGCAGCAGCAAGAAAATGCAGGAGATACTTTGACCTAGGGTTTTCTCAGAGGAAATGAGATTTCCTTTTAAATCAGGGAATCATTTCCCCATATCTGAATCAGACAAGTCTGATTCATCTGGAGATGATCCTGTGCTTTAAGTACCTCTTTCCCTTTGATAGAAAGCGAGCCAATGCCATTTCTAACATCACCAGCAGCTGCCTCATTCCCTAACACAGGATTTCCACAGGAAAAGCAGCATCTGCCATAGGACCATGTTCTTACAGTGCTGAAATACGGTCAGGAGAGGCAGAGATGAGCTGTTCCCTTTTGGGACAGACTATGCATGATGACCAAAAGCCACTTCTGCTTGCCACTAAGCAGCCTCCCCTTCTTGCAGGTCCCTTTTTCTGAGCTTGGGCACACTTACGACAGCCATGGCTTGGAAAGAATCAGAACCGTGATTTCCTTTAAATAACAGCCAGGAAATAAAGGGCTCTGGCATCATGATGAGGGCACTTCCATGCGAGAAAGGAGACGGCTCAGTCATCTTCCCTCATATGTCTGCAGCACACCTCTCCTAACCCCTGGCCAGGCCCAGTGCTGGCACTTGCTGTCCTTTGTGCTGAAGCAACACTGCTGGAAACCATGCAAGACTGATCCGGAGAAAGACAGAAATCAGCATCCACAACTGAAGTCTACCGGTTCAGACACACATCAAGGGCTTGGCTCTGGTCTCTAGGCTGGCCATTTCCACAAGCTGTACAGAGGTTTGCCATGAGGAACACGGAAAACCATTTAAGGAGTGAGAAAGACTGGGTTTGGTTAGCAAAACAAAAGTTCTTGCATTTTTGAATGTTCTGTTACTTGGAACTAAACAAGAACAGGACCATTGTCTACATGCTCTTCACTTACATTTTCTGATGCAATGTTCTCCATGCCTATTTCTTCACCATAGTAAGTTACAGGAGTGCCAGGGAGGGTTAAAAGCAGCATGTTCATGACATTGATGTACTCCTTCCCTATCCGAGTTGAAATCCGAGCAGCATTAGGGCTTCCAACCTGAAGAAAACATCATTCTGTTAAACACACATTATAAAATTTCATGCATATGTGAAATTGATTAACTAATTTTACAAGGTAGTAAATGTTTTTGGTTTTTTTTCTTTCCCTTCTAGGCCTGTGAGCTCCATTATCTTTATCTTGATGCCATTACAAATTTCTGTCCCAAAAAACTGAATACACAGAAGTCCTGCCAGCAGCACATGAGGCAGAAGTAAGGAATAGATGACAAATAACAACTGTCCCTGCTTACAGCTCTCTGCTATTTTCTCTGCCGTGTGAGGACTGCTCTGCTTGCTTTGAAAAGATTCTTTGCACATTCCAAACATGCTTCCTAGGAAAAAGAGAAGCAATGTTTTAAGTTAACTGCTCTCCACTGCCTGCTCTTCTCTGCCCTGGCCCCGGGCGGGTTCGAGAATCCATTGCAGTGAGTCAGTTTATGGTCAAAGATAATTATCCCAGTTCCATTCTCACTGGTGGTTTAGCCACTGGAGACACTGAGGGAGAGGCATGATCATAAATTCCCTTCTGTCATCCTTGCAAGGGGAGTGGAACTTTTACTGAAGGGCAGGAGAGCCGGACAGTGCCAAGGACTCCAACTACAGCAGCTCTGACTTTTCACAAGGACGGGGACTGTAGCTCAGCAGCCCAGTCTGCTGCTGATCCCACTGAAATCAGTGTGGGTGTGTGGCTTCTGTCACCTACAGGAACAAGCCTTTCCTATGAGAGTTGGTCTAGAATTCTTACTGCCCAGTTTGGCCATTTTCCTGCAGGCATGTTTTTCATCCACGAGTTGACAGCTTCAAAAATACTGTTGCCTGATAGATATTTCATGTTAATTAGGTTGAAATTGAAGGGAAAATCTGCTTCTTGGATAAAAGTCGTTCCATAATACATCATTGTGGCTTCAATATCTTCCTTTTCATCATCATCAGAACCCATAAATCTACAAAGAAGTATACAAACAGCTTTTTTGGTTCATTTTTGGTTACACAGAACAGAAATAAAGCTAGAAATGGTTGGACACAGAGCATTAAGAATTATGGTCACTTCCCCCTCCCCATCAAAAGAAGATTAATACAGAGAAACAATACTTTGTAAAGCAGACAAGGAATCAAGGAGAAGTACTTCTTGGAAATTGCTGGAGGAAAATCTACAAGAGTCAAAACAAGGCTAAAGTACCTCAATGAGGTTTTATCTTTCTGTATCTATGTCCACATGCACCATTCCAGCAATTTCCATGCTTTCCTTCACAGAAGAGGACCTGTGGGTCCCTCAAGCTGACCATGAGCCATCAATGTGCCCTTGCAGGCAGCTCATGGCATCCTGGGCTGCATTAGGAGGAGTGCTGCCACAAGTGAGGGCGGTAATCCTTCCCCTTTAGTCCGCCAGTAAGGCCATTAGGGACTGAAACATCTCTCCCAGGAGGAAAGGCTGCGAGGTGGGGCAGTGGGGCTGTTCAGCCCAGAGAAGGGAAGCCTCAGGGAGATCTCATCCCTGTTTTGAAGGGAGGGTGCAAAGGTGACAGAGCCAGGCTCTTTTTAGTGGTGCCCTGTGTCAGGGCCAGAGGCAATGGGCACAAACTGAAACACAGGAAAGGTGTTTCCCTAAGAACATCGGGAAGCTCCCACCAGTCAGGGCAACTGAGCCCTGGCACTGGTTTTTCAGGGAGGTTGTAGAGTCTCCATTACTGGAAATGTTCAAAAGCCATCTGGACAAGCTCCTGGGCAACTGGCTCCAGGTGGCCCTAAAAAGCAGGGGGTTTGGAGCCGAGAACTTCAGGAGGTCCTTTCCAAATTCAACCTTTGTGTGATTTTAATGCTCTCTGACTGTGTGTCTCACTTGAACTGCCTATTAAAACTAAAGAATAAATCAGTCACGGGGTTGATAAATTAGTGTCTCTGTGATTAGAATGTTTTCCTTTTCTGCTCTACCTTTATACAGTCCATAGATGGAGCAGAGCTAACAGGGCCAATTCCTTTCTGCATACACTGCCGAAGAGACAGTACGGCCTCTGCGCTGCTATCTGCACTGGAGGATTTGCATTTCTGTGGCGTATTATCTTAGTAAAACAACATTTTCTTGCTAGCAAGAGGGAGATGAATATTAGAAAAAACTGGCCAGCTCTGCTGGTTACCTGTATCTGCCAGGCTCTCTGCTGAACTCATTCATGGTGTGACGGAAGCTGCGGATGATGTCATGCAAACCAACTTGTGTGGTGGTGTAGTCATGGTAGAGCTGGGAATAGGCTGTGATATTCTCCTTAAAGCAGGGTATAGTACTTCACATTAGTTCACCAATGTTCTAGGTTTCAGAATTCTCCAAATTCTCCCCATTCTTTCCTGAGACAGTGCACCAGTTCATGAATTTTTACTGAAATTAATTCATCATGCTAACACTAACAGCACAGAGCTGAACTGCACTTGAGGAACTCCAGAGTAGCAGAGCACTGATAATTTTGGATCCCATCCTTCAGCAGGGAAAGCCCACACACAGCACTAATCAACAGAGCCCATCTGGAGCAGCGAGCACAGCAGGTGCTGTGGCCTCAGACCAGGCTGGAAAGATGGACAGTGCCCTGATACAGTAACACAACACCACCGCCACCTTGGAGCTGGCCAGCTGTCTGTGATCCCCAGCTCCACAGGAGAACAGTCTCTCAGCGCTGGCACCACCTGGTAACATCACCAAGTTCACTATCAGAGCACAAGCAAGTAACATAAACAACAGGGAATGTGTCTGGTCACCTCTCAGTGTGACACATGGCCTATACCAGTGGTTTTTAGTTGTGCTCCCGTTCTTACTGGGGCTTCTTGGTGGTGAGTGCTCTTTGTGCAAAGTCCCGGGACCCACCCACCTTCCAAGGCTGACCTGATTTTCCTACAGCCACAATTAAGACCCAAAAGAGTCAAAGCAGGCACTCTTGTCTCCGTAGGAAATGCAGGAAAGAAAGCAAAGGCAGAATATAAACATTACTCCATTCTGAGACTTGTTCACTGGAGGCTCATCTCGGAGATGTGTTGCTTCTAAGAGAAATTTAACAGCGCCAAAACTAAATCCATCAACTCCTTTGCCGAGCCAAAATTTTATAATATCCTAGATAAAAGCAAAAATTGAAAAGTCTGAGTGAGCCCACCCCCATTTAAAACAGTATATTCTTAAAAAGAAAACTAAACTTGTAAGGAGGTGTTAATACATAACAATTCATTTCTTGATTTGTGCTTCAAATTTTTCTAGAAGCTAAAGTGAATCATGTTGACCTAAGGTCAAATTAATAGCTAAATAAAGTACGTCTTACTATTTCATTCATACAAAAAAAAAAAAAAAAAAGACTGGTCTCTAACTTCTCCCATAATTCAGGAGACCAAAGCCAGGGCACGACTCAGTAAAAGCAGTTTCTAATCTCATCCATCAACACAACTGGGCTCATGCTAAGTGATGTTGTTGATGAGCACTCTCATGGCTGCACACAATTAGAACACATTGATTCAAATATGCAGGAACATGTTGTTCTGCACAAACTTTGTGCCACCAATTTTCTTTTACACAATAGAGCTCTTAAAACATTTATTCTCGCTTATTTGACTGATGCAATTTTTAAAAATTTTTTTCAGACTTAATTGTTGATTTGCAGGAACATAAGAAATTATCATCCAACAATTACAAATGCTATTGATTTGAAATTTCATTATCAAATTCCAATGTTAGTCATTATTAATAAAATTATATCCTACTTCACCAACTATATTACTACAGTTTTAATTGCCCCAGTTTAAACAAAAAACTCCAAAGTTCAGTCCCTCTTGAGTGGTTTCTGCAAATGTCCTTTTAGTTGTGATATTTGTCTTCATCTGAGAAAAAAAACATTCTTTAATACATATTTTTTTAAGTCTATTGACTTGCCTTTTTAAAACATATGAAGTACACTCGTCTGAACAAGCTGGAGCAGAATTAGTACACACTCAAGCTGTACAGATTTTAGTTTGGCAAATAAAGACTGCCTCACTGAGCTGCACTTCCTCGTAGCGCCATTCTGAAAGCAGCAGCTCTCAATACGGTGTCTGTCCAATACTGAATCTACCCAAAATGTTCATGCTTACACCTGTGCTCAGCACAAAAGCAAACCCAGGTATCAGCACTGCAAACATCAAGCACTGATGTGGTTCTCACTGGCACCAATCTATTTACACATGAAAGCCACAACATGCTGGTCGCTGAGTTTGGCTGTTCTTGGGTGCCCTTGTGCTGCTGAACCAAAGACTTAAGCTTCTCTGCAGAAGTCCATTTGCTTCCTGCTCAGTCCTCCTAACCTTCTGGAACGGGATTTTGAGTTAAAATACTAGACAAAAATTATTCTTTAACATGATCTTCATACACATTTACCAAAGGTTGGTGTTACCAGGACAAACTTCCCAGCTTTCATGTATTTTTTTTTTTTTTTAAATAGGAAATGCAGCATCTCTTTGCTACTGGAGTTTCACTAGTCCAGATATCATTTTAAAAAAGGAATTAGCCAGCATCATTAAAAAGCATGTGCAGTGCTATGGGGAAAAAAACCCGGCGCAAATGGCAAGATGTGGCATTAAAGGAAGTATCAAGACACAGAGAGGCTCCTGGCAGAGTTCTTCAAGGAGCAGCTCAAAAGCAGTCTCACTGTGTGCTTGAGTTAAAAGGTGTGACCAGAAGCGTTTTGTCTCTCCAAGCTCATGCAGTACCCACGTGGTGAGGGGAGCGGCCCCGCAGAGACCATCCCAGGAGGACTGGGCAGCTGTGAAGAGCAGCGCCCACGAAATGCACCACAATTCAACAGAACAAAGCGGCAAACCTTATGGATTCAATTAAACATATGAAGTAGCTGTACTGCCTGCTGAGGGATAACTTACAGAAAGGGGAAAAGGAAGCAGCAATTGTCAGGCTCCCCATATTCAGGCCTACATCCCCCTGTTTTAATGAATTCCACTTTGTCTGCTAGGAAACAGTGCAGACAGGAATGAGATTCCATTGGAGCAGCACCATCACCACCACTCTCAAGGTAAAAACACTCATTTCCTGCTGGAAAGTCATCAGACTTGTGGACAGATCGAAACTCACTATCTCCCCCTTATCAACAAGCCAGGCATTCCTTGTAATTCAAATCAGCATTGCCTCTGCTTTCCCAAAAATGCAAATATCTCTCTGCTAAACAAGGTGCCATCCCTCCATTCCACTGGCTAATTAACAACTCAGTACCAACAGAGGTAAAAAACTCCTCTGCACTTGACTTCCACAGGGGCTTCAGTGCAAGAGCTGCTGTGCTGTTGGCTCAGCACCAGTGGCTTTCATACTTACATGGATTTCTTGCTGGACAGCAGGGTTGCGAAAATTTAAGTCTGGCTGTTCCTTCCCAAACTGATGGAAATAGCATTGTTTTCTCACCTCGTCAAACTGCCAGCTCGAATTCCCAAAGACACTCACCTGCTCAGCCAAGGGAGAGAGACAGTCAGAACTACTAACTTAACAAACATTTCCTCCTATGCATACATAAAAATGTGTGGCATTACAAGCAAAAAATAAAGCACAAAATGCCTCATCAGTGGACTAGATTTTGAACAGATTTTGGTACTTATTATTTTCATTTATTTTTGCCACTAAATGCTCTCCCTGTAGTTGTGCTTTGCCACAGGTATTTCTTGTTCAGTGTTGTAGTTTTTGAAGATTTTTTATTAAGTTAACTTTCACTGGGATTTATCTGAAATAGAGGGGAAAACATGGGTGGGAACATTTAGTTTGGAATTACTTCTCCTAAAACTTATTTTAAACAGCTTTAGTTAACTTTAGAGCGTTCGGGAATTTAGTATTATCCCTCTGAAGGGCCACCAACAGCCAGCAAGTGAAAAATGTTAAACTTTATTACCATCTCTCTAATTAAAGATACCAAAAGCCAAGATAGTTCTTAAAAGACTCTTAAGTTTAAAGAGAAATTATACAAATTGCTACAAAGTATTAATTTCACCAGGAGTTTTTAGACTATACAAGTTCCTAATCATGCACCCACCGGTTCAAATCTAAAATAAATCTATTTGAAATAGGCAACACACTTTCTGGCCTGATCACTTTCCAGAAAAAAGGACAAAAGCCAAGATCACATTATTTTGTTTCCTTCCCCACCAACTACGGTTTCAGAGTACTTGTCACGCAGTTTCTAGAACAGAATACCCATACACAGAAAGGGGCATGTGTGAACAACTTGTGCACAAGTTGGGTTTTTTTGCGTGTGTGTTTGTTTAATGAACAAAGATTTAACACTGAGATAAAGAAACAAAAGTAATTTTTAAAATTTCACTTTAAGTAAGAACTTTTCAAGTGATCCCCCAACCTGGTTTAAATCTTAATCTGCACTAACTCATAACATCAGTTTGTACCTCTCACCAGTCACTTATAACCCCATGTACACTGGGTCAATCATGTCCCAGCTGACTTTGCTCTGTGGCATCCAGCTTGGGACGTGTGCGTGTCCCTTCCCGTGTTTACCCAGTTGTTGGGAGGGATGAGTGAGCCAGCAGCCTGCCTGCAGTCCTGCCAGATGTAGTAGTCTGCGTACTTCCCAGTCCGATTGCGGCTCAGCTGAAACCACCGGTGTTTGTCACTTGTGTGGTTTGGTATTAAATCCATTATCACCTTTAGCCCTTAGAAATAAAAACAAAAACATTAAAAAAACCATCAACCCTCCCCCAGCACTACAACATTACATTTAGCCTTTTAAGACAACGTTCATATTTTTTCCAAATGCAGTATCAGAGGTATTTGGGCTTCTTCCATGCCAGAGGTCTGGTGAACGAGAGGGGCACGAAAACCCCACAAAAAGTACCAGACTACCAAAACAGTTAGAGCTGACTGGTGTTTGCAAGTAGCTGGAACACAGCTTGGGATGGAAAGAAGAGTGAAGAGAACAATCAAAACAGATTTCTGCTGTTATGAACCACTTATGAACCACTTTCACTAACTCTGACTTCAACATCTGTCTCGCACCTCCCAGGTGAGAAGGGCACTTCACCAGTCTAGCATCAGTGATCACACATTCTTCATCACCCTTCCTAAATAACAGACATTTTACTGAAACCTCAGATACTTTCAGACTCGCAAACCATTTTCTGTTCAGCTCAGCAGCTGTAAGAAGAAACACCTGAGCAAACATTTGGTCTGAGGCATAAAAGCACCAAATCAAGGATGCAAGAGCAGGGAAGAAGCGTGTGTTCCCTCATGTTCAGTCAGACAGAACTGCATCTCAGCTCAATCCCAGCCTTCCAATGCCCATAAGACAGGCCTCAGGGAGCATGGATGGCTGCCAGCCCACCACCCACAAACATCTCCCTCGCACAGGACACGCAGCCGCCCTGTGCTGCTGCTGTAGCTCCCTGTGCCCTGTCCTGCGTTCAGCACTGCCCCAGAGCCAAAGGGCAGGAGAAGCAATCATGGAGCTCACATTGCTGTGGAGCTGCCTTGTACCCTTTGCTGGCACCTCCATCTGTTCCTGCTCAGCGCCACCACAGGGGACTGGCAGGTGCACAAACTGAAGTCCCTATAAGGTCCATCTTTTTAACAGAGTTACTTTGCTTGGAGGTGCAGCTTACCTTTGTCATGTATGGCTGCAATCAGATTCTCAAAATCTGTCATTGATCCAAAAATGGGATCAATGTCATAGAAGTCTTCAGCTCCATATCCAAGGTCTTTCAAAGGGGACTTAAAGAAAGAGGTGATCCAGATGGTTTTTATATTCAAATATGTAATATGGTCCAGTTTTTCTTGGATACCTATTTAAAAAGAAAAGGACATAATCTGTTCAGAAAAGACAAAGATTTTTTTTTTGTACAGGGGTCCCTTTACCTTCCTGACATGTTACTACAGTATGCAACTACAGAAACAGTTTCTGCCAGCACTGTACAGTGTTGCTATCACTGCTTGTTTAGAAATGCATTGTCCATTTTGGTGTTGAGCCTTCCCTTTCTGCAGGGCAGTCTCCGCTCAGCTACTGACAAGTGGCATTGCTTCCTTGCTATCAGGTGCCCCATCTCCACGCATTTTTACCAGCTGATTGTACATAGACCACGAAGAAAACAAGAAATAACACATCTTTCTCCCCTCTTTGTCAGTTTTAGTTTTCCTTAGGAAGAGCAGCCACCAAACATGACCAGGTGCTCAGCACCACTCATCCTCCTGACTGGACTCCGTTTTCTGGAGGTATCTGACTCTGGCAGCAGCTGTGCTGCTGCTTGCTCTCAGCACCATCTCTCAACTTCCTTTCTAATTCCACACTTAGACTTGACTAAAGCAAACAGCTCCTGGATTTATTCACAACAATGTGAGTTGCTATTAACGTTGCCTGACAACTTCTCTTACTTTTCTCCATTAAGGTGGCTTTGTCTATTGGACTGTACTTTGCCACTGGTTTTGCTTTTCATATACACCCATACACACGCAACTGTAACACAGCAAGAATGAAAACTGACCCACCTTTCAGATCCCCATTCCCATCCATGTTGCTGTCCCTGAAGGAGCGAGGATAAATCTGATAAATAGGACTAGCCTGCCACCAGTCAAGGCACTTTGGAGAGAGAGCAATGATGGCAATTGTAGCGCACACAAGCACAAGGGAACCAGCAATTACGAGCCAGAAGAGGATCTCCCTGGTGACTCTGTAGCGGGCTTGGCTGGAGAACTGCAGCAGGACCTCCTTTGGCATCCCAGCATAAGGCTTCAACACTGTCTCCTCCACAGCCACTGAGTCCACATCAACACTGCATGTTTTTGGCATTTCTTCTTCGCTACTGGTGGCCACTTCCTTGTCCTCAAAATCCTCATTTTGAACAAATCCATTGTTCTGCACGCCTCCCTTCTCACTCAGCTCCATAGGTAAGCTCCTGGCTTCCACCTCAACTGCTTTACTTGGCAGTTCTTGTCCTGGAGACTCTGGCCACAGCACCTTTGTTCAGTGAAATGAGAAGCAGTGCACTTAGCTGTTCTGAGTTGATAATCAATCCTGACCAACTGCTCAAAGTTCAAAAAGGGACAAAAAGGGCAAAGTGCTCACGATGTTCTGCATATTCGGCATCTTCAGCAAGATAACAAAATGCTAGAAGAAAGGGCAGTCCTCCTGGGAAGTAAAGCCTATTGTTGGTACCACCTGAGCACAGTTATGTTTACTCTTGCTCTCTCCAGTACTTCTCTTCCCTTTGACAGCAGGGGGAAATTCAGGTTTTACCAGTATCAGATCTAGCAAATATGCAGCTTTCCAGAGTGGTCATAGTCTCCCCTGCCTGAAGCAGTCTGAATATGGGTAATTTAAACACAGACAGCAAGAGTGTTGGCAACCACTGGGCTAAAGCAACAACATAAACTAAAAAGAAAAGAGTCAAAGGCTGGGTGTGCATCTTTTTCACAGTTTAACTCACGTGCTCCAGCCCACCCCCAAATCCTCAGCACTAACAACTGCTGCGGTACATACCGATCCTGCGACTCACAGCAGGGTACCTGGGGTGGACTGCTACACCCGGAGCCAGCCCTGGGGCAAGACAGGATAGCTCTGCACAGGCACAAGAAAAACTCAAGAGAAAAACCCACTGCCTACTATTAAAATCCATCCCCCCATTACAAGAAAAAAATATTTACAAACTAAAAAAAACAAAAAAAAAAAAAAAAAAAAAAAAAAAAAAAAAAAATTAAAAAAAAAAAAAAAAAAAAAAAAAAAAAAAAAAAAAAAAAAAAAACAAAAAAAAAGGAAAAAAAGAAATGCTTGTAAGAACCTTTCCCTTCTCCCTCTTTCTCCCCTTTTCTACTACTCTAGGTAGGAAAAAGCATCACCCAAAGCCTGCACAAACATGCACATCTGTACATATCTGTGTGCCCTAAACCCCAAGGGTGTAAAGTCAGCATCAAGATGTCCCTTTCCACCAGTACCCCCTGCCCAGCATACCAAAGGACACACAAAGCAATACAGATTTGCCAAGGAGCTGCCTTATCACCTGTAAAAGTTAACTCCTACCTCTGACCATAGGGTCAGGGTCCTAAGGAAACTCTTGGACAGTGCAGTGGAGACAAGGTTGGGTTCTGACTCAAAATAAGTGTTTATTATGTTTGCCTCAAGCCATGAAAGAAGTTTATCAACTATGGACTGTAAAAAGTCCAGCATGCAATATTCAAATTACTCAAAAAATCGTTATTTCTTCAGTAGCTGAGCTAAGAACAGGTATTTGATGCTGACAGATTTAATCCTTCCTCTTCCTAAGAGCAGTGCCTGGCAGCAACCTCAGCCTGTGCAGCGTCAGGCAGCTGTGGGAGCATCCAAGATAACAGCTGTAGTGTCAGTGCCTGTAATTCAGTATTGCCAGGAGATCCAGAAGCAGGAAATTATTTGACACTGGTTCACTCCCATTTAATGACTCTACAGTCTTAACATCATCATATCAGTAAGCTGTAAAAGTTTCCAGACAGGCACTGTGCACTCAGGGCGTACACTTGTATTCAACACAATGCCAGTGACTCCTCATTCCATTTCAATTGTTTCATTTCAATGTCTTAACTTGTAATGAAAGTAGAAAATGTGCAAATACAGAAATTTTTTTAGACTGCATGAAATACACCTCAAAACCTGGTACTCCCCAGCTTGCTTTTCCCCCCCCAAACTCAGAGGTTTAAAAACATAAGTATCTTCCTGCATACACAGAAGCTCCCTCAGTCACCCAAGCACAGCAAAGCAAGTCAGAGGCAAGAACAAATGATGGCCAGAACACAGTCATCTGCCACAGATGCGTGGGTCTCATAAGCCAAGGAGACTCAGGACAGTCAGGTGTAGAGTATTACACCCACCAGTACTGCTGGAATCAAAAAAGGGAAACTCGTTCCAAGTATTTCCGCTCCCTCCCATCTCTTTTCTTTAAGCCAGTAAACTTTCTGATGTTTACTGCCTGCTTGGGCAGGTTTATTTGATCTAAGGACACAGGCAGCTTACCCTTGACACACATACTTTTACAACTGATAAAGGCCAATTTAGCATCTCACTAGTCAGAAGCTGCCACTGCTCTCTGTATGTGCGGTTTGGAATCCACTCCTTTCCTCTTATTCGAGCATCTTGCGGGAGCAGCCTGCTCTTTGAATCCCGCTGTGCCAAAACCGTGCCTTCAAAAGAGCCCCTCTGTCCTAATGTAATCCCCAAGTAACATTAAAGGCTTATTTATACATTAAGTAGGTCAGATCGTGTCTTAATTGCCAAGCGTCTGGCTGGAGAGGAGGATTTTAGTGCTCTGGTAGATAAATGCAGCACGCAGGAGGCGGAGGCCACACATAGATGAATCCACGTGCGCCATCTCTGCTGGCTGCAGGGCACGCAAAGATCCAGCGACACAATCACTGTGAGGCTGAAACAGAACACGAGCCATGCTGGATATTCCCAAGTGGCAGTGCTGGTGAACACACGGTGTGCAGAGCGGCGCTGAGCGGGTTCCCAGCCAGCTGCAGCCGCGTCTCACACCACTCCGCCCTGCTCCGTGAGAAGAGCTGAAGCGCAAGCAGGTACCGGCGGAACACAGGTACACTCAGGGTAGGCACCTGGGCCTTAAAGCCTAAAAATTCCTCTTGAAAGCTTGGAGAAAATGTACAGCCAAGGAGCTTAAAATAGGTCTGGATGATCAACTACCACAGATCCAGGAGAACGAACACAAGAATCTGATATTGTCTCCTGTGTGATTTTCCTCACTGACTAAAAATAAAACCACACAGGTATTTTGTTGTTATTACAGACCTATTTTTTTTTCCCTCTCCTCATCCTGAGGAGTTGCTTGCCTTAAAATTATTTGATAAAGGAATAACGTAAACTTCATCTTAGAAAGGCAGATCACCAACAATTCCCACTGAGCTTTAACTTTTTCCTTTTAAAATATATTTTATGTATGCAGGCATTATGCATCTGGCTTGCTCTCAAGCAATTCTGAAATGGTTCCCTCCTGAGCTATTTTACAGTTTAGCAGGAGTAACTAGCCAGTGTAACTGTGTTAGCAGAATCCACTGAAAGGCATTAAGTAGTAAAGAAAACACTTCATATTCTGTGCCAGTTACTCTGTTTACCTCGGGGTTAGGTAGGGAAACAAAACCAATCTGTATGTGGGCAGTAATAGCTGCTATCTCCACACAGATTGCCATGGTTATTTCTGTAAGATGGAGGGGTTAATTTTCACAAGTATTTCTTATATATAATTATTTAGATGCACTGACTGACTTAGTCATCTACTGTTTGATGCTCTACAAATGCCAAGTAGCTTGCCAGTTGCTCAATACCACACATATTACCCCAAAAACCATGCAGAGGGGTGATTATGCACCCTAATGTGCTAAGTGTAGGAAGACATTTATTGTTAAAAAGTTCCCTTGCTTTATGCTTTTTTATTAAAAGGTTTCTTGCCACTGGAACTCTTCTGACATAATGCACTTTAAATAAAACCTCATTATTTACAGAATCAGGACCAGATTTACAGGTATGTAAAAAAGGCAGACACCTCAGCAGCAGCTTTACCTCAGCAGCTCCCACAAGACTGATGGATAGTCTGACCTTTAAAGCTACCTTTCACTCAGCACTAAGAAAATCCTCCCTTGACCTGGAGGGCAGCTGTCAAGAGAGAGAAGGTCTAGGGGAACAAGTTTCTGACACAGTATCTTTCACCATGAGCATGTCTGAAGTTTCTGCCATCAGCCTGAAGTCCTGGGGGTGGCAAAACGTAATTGCACTGGACACCTGTGAAAGGGTTTGGTGGAGGTTTGTTACTTTTTAAATGCTCTTAGTCCACTAATGGACGATGTGATTAAAGGTTCATGTCTTTATAAACGCTGTAATTAGCTACTGCTCGGCTCAGGGGACATTTCAGGAGTAGGTTTCAGGGGAAGGAGGCACCCAGCCCCTGCCCCCCACGGCTGATCTGCAAGGCTGGCCTCTCCCACTATTTTTAATGAAAACAATTATCCACTAATTGCTGCTGTTATCATCGCTGCAAGAACAAGAGCATGCAGCACTGACTCCTGGATGCTTGCCCCCCCAGAGGGTCAAACACTACATACAACCCACAGAAAAACAAACTCGAGGTTTGCTGTCTCTCCAGGAGGAAGCTCACTCACATGAACTGTGCTCATTTCAATTTACACTCTTCCCTCTGTGGCATTCATCTGCCCCATTTCTGTCCTAGAGGATGACAACTTCCAAAGGATTTTCTTTTCCAACCTACTCCTCAAAACCTTTCTCAGCAAGAAACCCAGACAGACCTTGCTCTTCCCCTTGTACAAACTGGAGAAGTTCAGCATGGTATTAAATCATGGCAGACTGTTGAAGTTTGGATGGCTGTAACTCAAGAGTGACCTTGAGTTAGTGAAACATCCCTGAAAGTGGGAGATCTGCAATGCAGACAGCACAGCCAGGCAGCCCAACATGAAGCCAAGGAGAAGCTCAAAAAATAAAATGGCATTCCACTGCATTGCCACCAATCCATCCCTTCAGTTACCAAAAAGACAGCACCCCACAAGCTGCATCTGCCTTTGGCAGGGTTTATCTCTGAGAACAATTAAATGCACTGAACAGGAATCTGAGGAGCCAGGTTTTGGTCTGCTGAGCACAAAGCACTTCCTCTTGTGGGAGGATGGATTTATTGGGAGGTGCTATCAGGCAACAGCTGTCACCACATGAGCATACCTATTTCCATACTATACAAGATGTACAGCTTTTCACAGTGCCTCAGCTTCCCCACTTGCAGGAATTACACACACAGTATCACAGATTATATGGTGCTCCATATAAATTTATTCCTTTTCCCTTGTCTCTCTCAGTGCATCAAGATAGGCTTTCCTGCAAGCAATTTACTTTTTCACAAGTATCAAATCAGTGGCAGGTATTCCACGATGAAATGTACTCAGGTTGTGCTCCTGTGAAATAATTTCCTCCTGGAAGAGCTCAGTTCATATAAAAAATCTCCAGTCTGTACAGAAAGCTTCAC